TCCTCCCTCCTCCCTCGTCGTTGTCGTCGTTGTCGTCGTTGTCGCCGTCGTCGTTCTCCCTCCTCCCTCGTCGTCGTCGTCGTTGGCGACCTCGTTGTCGTCGTCGTCGTCGTTGTCTTCGTCGGCGTCGGCGTCGTCGTCGTCGGCGTCGTCGTCGTCGTTGTCATCGTCGTCGTCGTCGGCGTCTTCGTCGTCGTCGGTGTCGTCGTCGTCGTGGTCGCTGTCGTCGTCGAAGTCGTTAGAGACGTCGTCGGTGTCGTCGTCGTCGGTGTCGGCGGCGCCGTCGTCGTCGCTGTCGATGTCGTCGGCGGCGTCGGTGTCTTGGCCAAGTGCCATCTGGTACCTACCGTTACGGTCTTGTCTTAAAAGGTCTTGCGACCAAGTTACGAGTGGGAGGGTGGGATGTTTGCACGAGCAGTGGAGAGGACAGCTTCAAGACGGTCAGAGTGAAGAAAACCATAGGTTTTTCCAGATTGCGAAGGCCTTACGGCCGATGCCGCCGACCCTGTAGGCAGCGATGACGAAGTAGAGGAGTCCAAGATGCCCTCAGGTGGCTCGAAAACGGCGCCTGATGCCTGCAAGGTCGTCCGAAGACAGCTCAAGAGGCCTCCTCCAGGGTTCGGGAACGGCTCCAGAGAGTGCCAAGATAGGCACAGAGCGCCTTCAAGTGGCCCGAGATGGTTCCAAGACGGCGACAAGCGACGCACAAAAGCGCCCGCAGAGGCTGTCAAGAGTGCCGCCAGAGGTTTCCAAGAGAGTCTAAAAACGGCGAAAGGTCTCCAAGGAGCCTTAAGATATGCTGAAAGGGTCCGCAGACGGCCCCGGATGGCCAACGGAGCCCCAGGACGCAGGAGAATGAGAGGCGGGGGGGTGCGTATCCGAGAAGGGACCCCCCCGCCCCCGGAGTTGCCCCGGGACCCCCCTTGCCCCCCCCTGGGAGTTGCCCCAGGACACCCCCTCAGCGGGGAAGGGATCAAGGGAAGGGGCTTCCCTTCGACTGAAGGACGACGTTGTTCAATTTTTGTGCGGACTTGTGTAGGGAGCCCTCGGAAAGCAGAAGAGGCGACGACGCTGTGGGGAAGACAGAAAAGCCTCTCCCTCACGCCGACAGGGTCGGCGGATTCTTGGATGCATCACCAGGCATGATTGTGTAACTCAGGATCTGCGCCGAGCTGTTCCTAAGCGGAGGACGAGGCAGACGACGAGCACGAGGAGGGGGAGCAAGGGAGGGGAGGAGGAGGAGGAGGAGGAGGAGGAGGAGGAGGAGGAGGAGGTGGAGGAGGAGGAGGGGGCCGTTTTGGTGTCTCTTGGGGCATATGTTGGGCCTCTTGGGGCCTCTTGGGGGCCTCTTCGGGGTCTCCTGGGGCCTCTTGGGGGCATCTTGGGGCATCCAGGGCGCTTCCTGGGGCGGAAAGCTCGAATTTTCGGTTCGGGCTCCCCTTCTTGGGTCCCTCTTGGGGCCTTCTTGGGCCGTCTTGGTAGCCTCTTGGGCCGTCTTGGCGCCTTCTTGGGCTGTTTCGGGCGCCTCTTGGGAGCCTCTTGAGCCGTGTTGGGGCTTTCTTGGGGGCTTCTTGGACTGTCTTCAACGCCGTGAAGGCCGAAAAGTCGCATATGCCAAAAATGTACGCTTTCCTATTGGAAATCAATGATTCTGGCCTCTCGGGAACGTCCTTGGGAGGCTCCGGGGCTACCTGGAGCCATCTCGGAAGCGTTCTTGGAAGCTTCCGTGGTTACTCGGAGACGTGTTGGCGCGATCTTCGAGCCTCGAGTAGGCTTCTTCGGAGCGACCTGGAGCCATCGAGGGCTACATTAGCGATCTTGGAGGTCATCTTCAGGGGGGGGCTGCGTATCTGACCCGGGACCTCCCCCGGGACCTCCCCCGGGTGCTCCCCCAGGTTCTCCCCCGGGTCCTCCCCCGGGTCCTCCCCCGGGACCCCCCCCCTCGCGCCGGGGAAGTGATCAAAAGGAAGGGGCTTCCATTCGGCTCAATGACAACGTTGCTCAATTTGGGTTTGGACCGAAACGCTTGAGGAGGAGGCCCCGGAAAAGGAGAAGACGCTGTGGGAAAAGGGAAAGGACCAGGACGACGACGAAGAGGGGGCAGACGGAGAAGCCTCTTCCACACGCCGACAGGGTCGCGGATTTTCAAAACATACTACCAAACGGGCTTCGCGTACGCGCATGTCGGAATCATTCGAACGCCCTTGCGCGCGTGCCGTCGCGAGAATCCTCTGCAAAAAACGGGACGAAGTGCGCACGCGCGCGTCGTCGCCCGCGCATGCCGAAATCCTTAAAAACCTCCGGTTTCGGAAGGATGTCAAAATCGAGCGTCAAATTTATTATATGTATATATGTAATTTATATATATATATATATATATATATTATATATAGATATATATATATATATATAAGAGAGAGAGAGAGAGAGAGAGATAGAGAGAAAGAAAGAAAGAGAGAGGGAAAAAATAGAGAAACAACAAAAGAACGTTTCGCAACACGGATTTTCAACAAAAGCGTGCGCGCGCGCTCTTGCGTCGTCGTCGTCTTCCTCTGTCTTTCCTCGTCGTCGTCGTCGCCGTCGTCGTCCTCTGCCTTTCCTCGTCGTCGTCGTCTTGGCGTCGTCGTCGTTTCCGTCGTCGTTGTCGCCGTGGTCGTCCTTCCTCCCCTGTCGTCTTCGTCGGCGTCTCGTCGTTGTCCCTCCTATTTCGTCGTCGTCGTCGTCTTCCCTCCTCCCTCGTCGTTATCGTCGTCGGCGTCGCCGTCCTCCCTCCTTTTCGTCGTTCGCGTCGTAGCCGTCCTCCCTCCTCCCTCGTCATTGTCGTCGTTGCCGCCGTCGTCGTCCCCCTTCCTCCTTCGTAGTCGTCTTCGTTGGCGACGTCGTCGTCGCCCTGTTCGTCGTCATCATCGGCGTCGGCGTCGGCGTCGTCGTCGTCGGCGTTGTCATCGTCGTCGTCGGCGTCGGCGTCGTCGTCGTCGTTGGTGTCGTCGTCGTTGTCGTCGTCGTTGTCGAAGTCTTTGGAGACGTCGGCGGTGTCGTCGTATTCGTTGTCGGCGGCGTCGTCGTCGTCGTTGTCGTTGTCGTCGTCGGCGTCGGCGTCGTTGCCAAGTGCCATCTGGTACCCACCGTCACCGTCTTAAGAGGTCTTGCGACCAAGTTGCGGGTGGGAGGGTAGGATGTTTGCACGAGCAGTGGAGAGGACAGCTTCAAGTTGAGCAAGTGATGATTGCACCAAATAGAGTGCACCACATGGGTTCTCCTTTCTAAAGTGGAGCTAAGTTCTACCACCCTCCCCCCCAGAGTTATCGACTCCCCGGGAACCGATGCAAAACCCATACGATTATGACCCAATGTCCACTCTACCTCTGTATTCATGCTACCCCAGCCAGGCCGGTATCGGTCCCGCCCCCGTCCCCTTGGACAAAAAATTCTACGCACGCACACTCGTTTAACAAAAATCATAAATGTTCAAGAATCCCTTGCAAACAAAAAAAAGACGAAGTGCACACGCGCGAGTCGTCGCGCGCAGGCCGAAATCCTTCAAAAATTCTAGGTTTCGGAAGGGTTTCAAAATCGAGCGTCCAAAAAAACATGATTAAAGATAAGAATCAAAAACAAAAAACACTTAAAAAAACGTTTCGCAACACAGATGTTCAACAAAAGCGTGCGCGCGCTGCTGCGAACTCCTAAGAAAAAACATAAGTTGTTCAACATGTTCATAAAGTGCTACCAAGCGGGCGTCGCGCGCGCGCATGTCGAAATCGTTCGAACGCCCTTGCGCGCGTGTTGGGGTGGCACGATCCGTGTCAAAGAATACCATGCGAGCCATTCTCGCGCGTCTGCCGCGCGCGCATTCCGGATTCCTTCCTAAATCTTCATCGCCGACGCGAAGACGCCGTCATCGCCGCCGGCGTGATCAGCATCGGCGCCGTCACTGGCTGCCCCGTCGTCACTGTCAGCATCGCAACAAGGATCGCTACAATCAGCATCGCGTCTACAAATGTCGACGTTGCCATGATACCGCGCCCGCCCAAGTCGCCGACTCGCACTGAAGTGCCCGCTGGGTGCGCCGAGCGGTCAGCACCACCGCGTTCGCGTCGGTCGCGCCGAACTAGCTGACCGCCGCGCGCGCAAGCATGCGCGGGCTAGCGGCGCGGCCGCAGAGCTGCACCAGCCAACACGCAGCACCCATCGCAATCGCTCCCGCATGGGTTTTGCAAACCAGGTCGCGGGTGGGCGGGCGGGGCGATTGCGCGAGCAGCGAAGTTGACAAGTTCAAGTTCGGCACGTGAATTTTCTAAACGAAAAATATGCTCTACCCCCCCCCCCCTTCCCCCCGGAGTTAACGACACGCGTTTTTCGTATTGCAATTTACACGCGATTCTGCCCCATCGCCCATCCTAAGTATGAATTCACACGATCCCAGTCAAACCGGCATCGCTCCCCACGCCATCCTTTGCAAAAGATATTCGACCTCGTTAATTCGCGCGAGCTCCTGGTCACTCCGACCCCCCTGCAGCCTTTTGGGGCTCAAGACGGGCGCTTGCGCCCACCCGCTCGCGCGCGCGCGGGCGCGCGATTTGCGCCACGCGGCGGGGGCCAGCCCGAGCGGGGCCGGGAGGGGCCCAGGCAGGTATGCCCCCCGCCGCTGCGATGCGGCGCCCCGCCTCACGGCTTTCGGCGCCCGCGGCCAGGCGGCCCGCAGGCGCGGGCCACGCGGGGCTGCGCGACGCTCCACAGGCCGGGCCAGAGCCGCGCGGGCCAGCCGCGGGCCGCACCACGCCGGCGGCGCAGGCGGCACCCGCGGGCGCTCCCGCAGCGAGCCGCGCCCCGCGAGCGGCGCTCGCCCGCGCGGAGGCGGCGGCGCCGGTCGCGGCGGCGGGGGCGGCGCTGCCGCGAGCGGCGGCGGCGGACCCCGCGGGCGCTCGGCCGCGCAAGGCGGAGACCGTCGCGAGGCGACGAGGAGGGCCGCCGGGGCTCCCGAGCGGGGCTGCGGCGAGGCGCTCAACGTGGAGGACGAGTGGCTCGAGCCCGCGGCCACGAAGGGCGCGGAGCGCGAGCCGTCGGAGCGGCACTACAGCGCCTACCCGACGCGCGCGAAGTTCGGGCCCAGGCGCGGGGAGGCGCCAATCGTCGACGTCGAGCCCGACGGCCTCGTCACCTTCAAGGCGCTGGGGCCCGCGACGGACACGGGCGGCCGCAAGGGCAAGTTCGGCCGTGCTGGGTCCGACGCGATGTTCGAGGTCGTGCACTTGGGCGCGGAGCTCGAGGGGGAGCGCACCCGGATGGGCATCGCTTTCGATGACCCGACCGAGGCGCCGCTCATGCACTTCTGCCCAGTCGGCACGGACCACAGCGAGTGCCTGCACGGGCAGGAGGGCTCGGGCTCGAAGCTCTACGACGCGGCGATCATCCTCGCCGGGCGCTGGAGGTACTCGAAGCCGCCGTTCATGGGCCACGCGGGCGAGGACGCTTCTCGCGCGAAGGTCAACAAGGCGATCAACGTCGCACGGGCGAAGGCGAAGGCAAAGGAGCGCCCCTCGAGCGCGACGAAGCCTAGGCCCTACCTAGGCAGCCCTCGACCCCCGTCGAGGACGACGAGGAGGAGGGGGAAGAAGGGGCCCCGCCAGCGCGGGAGGGTCGAGGAGGCGGCGCGAGCGCACACGCCTGCGCGCCTGCTGGGCGCGAGCGCGGCCTCGGGGACAAGCTCGAGAACCTCCGCGATCGGGTGGCGGACAGGAACCTAGGTCTGCAGCCCACCGCGAAGCGCAAGAGTGCCGGATCCGTCGCCCGCCTCCGCTCGAACAGCCCACGGGCGCGCGAGGCTGGGGACGACGAGGGCGCGGGGGAGGCCGAGGAGCTTGAGGAGCCCTCTGCGGGGCGCGGCCGCTCGGGCAAGCACTCGGACCGCAGGGGAGAGGACAGGCAGTCGCTCCAGGACCGCATCCCGTCGAAGGCATCGGCCCAGGGCGGCTCGGGCTCGCAGCCCAGGCGCGGGTCGCGGTCGGGAGGCGGGAGGAGCGGCCGCTCTCACCGCTCTCGATCCCGCCGTAAGGCGAGCAGCGACGGCTCGGGCCCTCGCCCCCCCAATGGTTCGCGGGGTCGTTTTTCCGACGCCCGACTCTCGGCACGCGACAGGACCAAGCGCATTGTGGAGAGGAAGCCGGGCGAGATCACGCAGCGCGCCTTGGACAACACTTCAGCGTCTTCCTGCCGAGTCCCCAGGGCAAGCTGGGTGCCCGCAACGAGCGCGAGATGCGGATGCTGTCGGAGGCCGTGGACTCGATCCTCCTGCCCGACTTGGGCCGCGCTACCGACTTGCTGGCCCAGCAATTCAAGGCGGTGGAGCAGTGCCACGCCGACGGGGGGTCGTGGCGCACAGCCAGGCACCTCAGCGTCGCGGGGGACGGCAAGGTGTCGGTCATGGAGGACACGGAGCTCCAGGGCATCCTCAAGGACGAGAAGTCGGACACGAAGTACGCGAAGCTCCAGTCCGAGGCGCACGCCCGCAAGTCCGCCGTGCATTGACAAACCCCCGCAGGGGGGCGCGCAGGAGGCGTCGTCACCCCCGCGGAGCCCAGGCTCGGGGAAGCCATCTCCCTTGGGCCGCACGCGGCCGCGGGCTCGCGCGAGCGCAGTCCGGCGGTGCTTCGGGGCGCCTCCGAGGTGGACGCTTCCTCTCCGCCCCGTGGCGGAGGCGACCGAGTCCGCTTCTCGAGGAGCCCAAGGCCGGGGCAAGGGCAGAGGTGGCGGCAAGGGCAAGGATTCCAAGTCCGACCTGCCGAGGCCGGGGACGCCAGCCTTCTTCGTCAAGATGCGGCAGGGTGCGAAGGCCAAGCGGCAGGCTGCCCGCGGCGGCAGCCCTGCCAGGGACGCCCGCTGACCTCGCCCGCCCGCGGGCGAGAGGCCCCCCCGCGGCGCGGGCACCAGCGCCGCGGGGGGAGTGGCCAGAGGCAGGAGGCAGTCCAGGGGCGACCAGCCACTTCCCAACGGAGGCGGAGTGCTGGGCCCACATGGCTCAACACCCTTTGGAGATGCTGAGGTAGATCATCCAGCCCGACGCCATCAAGGGCACCGATCATGCCGCGTTCGGCGAGTTGCTCTGCGCGCACCTCCCCGCCAAGCTGCCAAGGGTCGGTAGCTGCGCTGCGGCGGCACCAAACGGGGGCTTCGGCGGCAAGGGCTGCAGTCGGAGAGACACATTGCCGCCCCCTTGTGGGGAGGGGTCGCGGGTTCGAGCATCTGCACCGACAGACGCGGACCTATCGGACCCTTGCTGAGAACGGCGATTGGGCTGGCCGTCTGCGCGAGCGCCCAGGTTTGGAGGCGTGGCTGGAGTGCTGCATCGTGGCGCTCAACACCACGTGGCTCGAGGGCGACGCGTGCTGGCCGAAGCTTTCGGCGCTCGGTCAGGCGCGGCACGTCACTGCGGCTCGGGCGCGCGCATTCTGGACCTTGGAGTGGCGCGTGGAGGCCTTCCTGGGGCCGCAGCCTGAGCCGCTGCCGAGCGCGCCAGCGTCGACCTTCCTGGCGTCGCGCAGCATCAGCCATACCTGGGAGGCTGTCCGCCGAGCCGAGGAGCTGAGCTGGGCGCGGGCCTTGCCGGGGCTGCCGCCCGAGGATCGGTGCGCGACTCTGCGGGTCGTGGACCTCTGCGGTGAGCGCATGGCCTGCTGGTTCAACGATCCGCTCTCGACGCTGGCGCTGCTGGACACGGCGCCAGTCCGCCCGAAGCTTGGGCGCGTCATGTGCGAGCGGGAGTCGCTGCTCCCGCTGGCGCGCGGGCTTCTGGAGCGAGGGCTGGTCATTCCCTCTCAGGAGGCGGACCTCTTGAAGATCCAGGGCAAGCCTCTGCTCAACGGGCTGATCGGCGCGCCCAGGAGCCAGGTGGCCCGTGAGGACCCCGAGGGGAAGGAGGTGCTGAGGCCCATGATTCTCACTGCGACGAACGATGTCTCCCTCGACTTTGGGGGGGATACTGGCGCCCTGCCATACTTCGCGCAATGGAGGTCCATCGCGCTGGGGCCAGACGAGGAGCTCGCGTGGTCGTTCGACGACCTCACGGGGGCCTTTTACCCCTACAGGCTGCCCGATGCCTGGGCGCCGCTGTTCGCGTTCGACGCGGTCTTCGACGCGGCGAGCTTGGGCTTGGGGGTGCCGTTCGGGGGCCAGGTCTACCTCGGCGCGGTCGCCATGCCGATGGGGTACAAGCACGCGATGGGTCTGGTGCAGTACGTGCACAGGCGCATGCTGTCCGAGGCCGGGCTGGGACCTTCGCCGCTGCCGAGGGGCCGCGAGGTGCGCAAGGACAGGTCTGTCCCCGCGCAGCGGGGGGGCTCGGCCTTGAGGGAGCTCTGGCAGCTCTACTGCGACGACGCGGACTACGCCGAGCTCGCGCGCCGACGTTCGGAGCCGGCGGGAGGCTTCGCCGCCAGCGCGCGCGACCGCTACGCCCAGCGAGACGCGCCGCTGAGCGAGAAGAGCGGGGCGCGCGCGCCCTCTTGCCAGCGGCTGGGGGCCCTGGTCGACGGCAGAGACGGGCGCGTCCGCGCCCCCCCTTCCAGGGCCGCCCTCTGCGCCCAGCTGGCGGCCCATCTGCTCGCGGAGGCTGTCAGCAGGAAGGAGGCCCAGGTGGTCGCCGGGCATTGGTGCCACCTGAGTTGCATCAGGCGCGAGTGCGGCACGGTCTTCCGGAGGCTGTGGCGCACCATCGCCCATTGGGACGGGGGCAGGAGGAACCTGCTGTCGGCGGATGTCTGCGCCGAGCTGGCCCTTGCCCTCAGCCTGCTGCCGTTGCACGAGTTTGACCCCCCCACGCCCGTGGACAGCATGATCCCCGCGAGCGGCGCGTCGGAGAGGGGTGGCGGTGCTTGCTGGACGAGGAGCCTCCGTCCAGAGTTTCGCGACTCGGCCTTGTCGGTCTTGGCGCAGGGCCAAGGTGCGAACAGGGGCGAGGCGGGCATCATCGAGCTGTTTGGTGGCATCGGCGGCGGGCGCATGGCCCTGGAGCGACTCGGCATTGAGGTCTGTCCCCACGCCTCCGCCGAGGTCTTCGAGCCCGCCAAGCGCGCGGCGCAGCAGCGTTGGCCCGACTGCGTTGAGCTGGGGGGCGTCCGCTCCATCACGGCCGAGTCGCTGCGCAGCCTCCTGGCGAAAGCGCCCCACTTGCGGGTGCCGTTCGCCCTCGGTGGGTCGCCCTGCCAGGGCGCCGCGCGGGCCAACGCGGCCGCAGGAGGCTGGGCCGAGGCGCTCGCCCAGCCGGTCAGGCACATTCCCCGCGTCGCCACCTTGGCGCGGGAGGCGTGTCCTGAGCTCGCGGCGCTGCCCCTCGCGGAGAACGCCAGCTCCATGAGCGAGGAGGGCCGCCGCCACTTCAACAGGGCGCTGGGCTCAGTGCCGATCGAGCTCTGCGCCAGCGGCTGCAGTCTGGCCAGGAGGCCGAGGTTGCACTGGCTCGACTTCCCGCTGGGCCCTCAGACCCCAGAGTTGAGCTGGGAGGTGGAGGCCGGGGCGATCCGAGGGACGCTCCGAGGGGCATGGCCTTTCTGGGCCGAGTGGCTCGAGAGCGGGGCGAGCCGCCCACGGGGAGAGCGCGGTGCCCGGGCGACCTTCACGCGCCCGATCCCCCGCGAGGAGCCACCAGTCGCCCCCGCGGGCCTCGCGAGCACGGGGCCTGCCGCGCGGGCTCGCTGGGAGGCAGACCAGTATCGCTACGCCCCGTACCAGAACAAGCTTGGCAACAGGGTCTATGACCGCCAGGGGTGCCTCCGCCCTCTGACAAGTGCGGAGAGGGCCGTGCGGTTGGGCTTTCCAGCCAAGAACTGCCCCTGGGCTGTGCCAATGTCCGCGGGCTTCTCAGGCCGCGAGGTGGAGGACGCACGCCGTGGTCTCTACGGCAACACCTTCTCGGCCCCCGTGGTGGCGATGTTGCTGGGCCGCGGCCTGTTGGCCGCAGGTGCGCTGGCGCGGCCACCGACGATCGCTGAGTGCCGGGGGGGCTCGCGGCGTCGAGGTGGACGAATACCTCCGCCAGCTTCTGGGCAAGGCCCCCGCCGACGCAAGTTCCAAGCAGGTGCACGACGCCATGCGCGAGGGCCTGGCCCGCTCTGTCATCTCCAAGGGCAGCGACGCGCGCATCGCGAGCGGGCACGTCCACAACCCGGCTGGCTGGCCGCGCCGCGGGGTGGAAGCGCATATGTGGCAGTGGAAGGTGCGCGTGTATTTTCCCCGGGGTGGGGGTCGGCAGAATGTCCTTGAGATGCAGGCGCTGCTGACCACCGCACGGCGGCGCCTGCGTACGACCTCCGCCCTGGGAGGCCGACTGATGCATCTTTGTGATTCGCAAGTGTGCATCGCCGTGGCCTGCAAGGGCAGGTCAACCTCTTCGTTGCTGCAACGGTTGCTCATGCGCCTGGGTGCGCTCCTGCTATCTACGTCGTGCCATCCTTTCTACGTCTTCGCGAGGTCGGAGCTCAGTCCGCCGACGCGCCAAGTAGATGGCGGTGACCATTCTGGCGACGGGCACGAGACAGCAGAGACAACGCAACCGAGCAGCAGCAGGCACATTGCGATCACCTCAACTCCAGCCGCGCACGCTGAGGCGCTACGCTGGGGCCGCCAACTCATTCTTCAATTGGCTCGCCAAGCGGAGTGAGCCGACGCCCCAGTCCGTCGCCGCCGCCGACGAGGTCTCGGGAGAGTTGTTGGAGGAGTGCTGGGCGGACGGCGAAGCCAAGTCAATGGTCGGCGACGTCCTGTCCGGTTTGCTGCACTCGCCCCGTGCTTGCGGCGCGCGCTCAATGACTCGCGGCGGCTCTTCTCGACTTGGTCGAAGAACGAGGCCCCCTCGAGGGCCAGGCCGCCACTGCCTGAGCAGGCCTTGGCCATGGCAGGCTTTGCCCTGTCCGAGGGGGGGCACCGCCATGGTTGCCGCCATCCTCGCGAGCTTCAACGGCTTCCTGCGGCCAGTGGAGGCCATGCTGCGGGCGAGCCAGCTCGCGCGGGACATCGACCGCGGTTTGGCGCACATCAACCTCGGTTTCACTGAGGGCGGCAAGCGCGCTGGAGTTGCCGAGCACGTTGTCATTGACGAGATCGAGGCGGTGGTTCTTGGCTCGAGCGCCGGGTAACGCACCAGTCGGGGCCCAGTTTTTCCCCCGAGGGACTGCAGGCTTCAGGGCAAAGTTCCGCCGCTTTGTGGGGCAGGTCGGAGCTAATCCCGATCGCCATCGGCCCTATAGCCTGCGCCGGGGAAGCGCCACGCATCACTCCCAGGTCATTGGTAGTTTGGGCAAGACCTGCGCGCGAGGCCGCTGGGGGCATCAGCCGACAGCGAGGATCTACAGCCAGGATGGCGCGGCGATGCTGGAGCGTGGACGCCTTTCGAGCCGAGAGAAGGCACTCGCGGGCACAGGCAGGCACTCGCGGGTAAAGGTAAGGCGCTGTTGCGCCGCCTGCTGCGAGCCCTCGGCCAGCCCGATGCCTCCTCACATCGTCAATCTGGGGAACATGGAAGGGCGCCCAGAGGGTCGCGACCGCGCAGCGCCGCCGTGGCCCCGCTCCCCCCGCCCTCGGCGGAGGCCCCGCCCCCTGCCCCCCAGGCGGCGCCCCCTGCGAGGGCAGGAGGGGGGCGGGGGCGGCTGCGGCCAGCAGTTGGCCGCTGAGCGACGGGCGCCTTGAGATCGGCCGCGCTCGCACCACAGGGCGCCCGCCGCCGCGGCGCGCAAACAAGGCCGCCGCGAGCGGCGCTCAAGAGGAGGAGAAGGAAGGAGCGAGCACTAGATATTCGACTTCGCTTATTAGCGCGAGCTCCTGGTCACTCCGACCTCCTTGCAGCCTTTCGGGGCCACCGACCCGCCCCGCAGCTTGAGGGCCTTTGACGCTGACGAGCCCACGCGGCGTTATCCCGCGCTGAGCGGAGGAGGGGCGCCCAGGGGATCGCGGCCGCGCAGCGCCGCCGTGGCCCCGCTCTTCCCGCCCTCGGCGGAGGCCCCGCCCCCTGCGCCCAAGGTGGCGCCCCCTGCGAGGGCGGGAGGGGGGCGGGGAGCGCCGCGTGCGGCGCTGAAGAGGAGGAGAAGGAAGGAGCGAGCACAAGAAATATGCGCGCACTCTCGTTTCTCAAAAATCATAGGCTGTCAAGAACCCCCTGGGAAAAACTGGGACGAAGTGCACACAGCGCGCGTCGTCGCGCGCGCATGCCGAAATCCTTCAAGAACCTTCGGTTTCGGAAGGATTTCAAAATCGAGTTTCAACATGTACATATATGTATAAACACATGGCTTCGCAACACTAGTGTTCTTTTTTATTTTTTTTTATTTTTTTTAAGGCTCACGCTCGCGATCTTGCGAAAGATTAAGGAAACCGTCTGGCTCCAACAGAAACCACACAAAAGCAAAAACAATAACAACAAAAAAAGCACAACAACAAAAACAAACAAAAACTGGCTTCGCGCGCGCGCATGTCGAAATCAGTCGAACGCCCCTGCGCGCGTGCCGTCGCGAGAATCCTCTGCCAAAGGGAGTATCCCAGCGCGACCCTACCTAGGAGTTGGAGCATGTAGGAAAGCAACATCTACATCTACACCGACAGCTACATTTGCATCTACACCTGCATCTACATCAACATCAACAGCGAGACTTACATATACATCTACATCTACACATACGCCTACACCTACATCTACATACACATCTACACCTACACCTATGGTATGATATGCTATGCTATGCTGCGCTATGATATGCTATGATGTGTTGTGCTGTGATATGCTATGATATGCTGAGCTATGCGATGATATGGTATGCTATGAGTGGCTATGCTATGGTGTGCGAATGCTGCGCTAAGCTAAGGTAAGCCAAGCTAACCTAGGCTAAGCTAAGCTAAGCCAAGCCAAGTTAAGCTAAGCTAAGCTAAGCTAGGCTAGGCAAAGCTAAGCTAAGCCAAGATGAGATAAGCTAAGCTAAGCTAAGCTAAACTAAGCTAAGTTAAGCATAGCTAAGCTAAGCTGGGGTAAGTTAAGGGGACGCGACTGGGGGAACCGCCCGGGGCGGCCTACATTGCCCGGCCCTTTGAAGCAAACAATGTAAGAACCCTCTAGGCAGAGCCTAGGTAGGGGGGAAAGAAGAAAAAAAAACATCATTTTTATATATATATATATATATATATATATATATATTAAACAAAAATAAGTATATATATATATATATATAAAAAAAAAAAAAAAAAAAAAAAAAAAAAAAAAAAAAAAAAAAAAAAAAAAAAAAAAAAAAAAACTGAACGAAGTGCAGACGCGCGCGTCGTCGCGCGCGCATGCCGAAATCCATCAAAAACTTCGTTTCGGAAGGATTTCAAAATCGCGTGTCCAAACGACATACAAAAACACAAGGTTTCGCAACACGGATTTTCAACAAAAGCGTGCGCGCGCGCTCTTGCGCCGTCGTCGTCGTCGTCGCCGTCCTCCCTCCTCCCTCGTCGTCGTCGTCGCCGTCTTCGTCCTCTGTTTTTCCTCGTCGTCGTCTTGGCGTCGTCGTTGTTTCCGTCGTCATTGTCGCCGTGGTCGCCCCTCCTCCCTCGTCGTCTTCGTCGGCGTTTCGTCGTTGTTCCTCCTATTTCGTCGCCGTCGTCGTCGTCGCTATCGTCTTCCCAAATCCCTCGCCGTTGTCGTCATCGCCGTCGTCGTCCTCTCTCCTCCCTCGTCGTCGTCGTCTTCGTTGGCGACGTCGTCGTCGTCTTCGTCGCCGTCGTCGTCGTCGTCGGCATCGTCGTCGTCGTAGTCAGCGGCGTCGTCGTCGTCGTCGGCGTTGTCATCGTCGTCGTCGTCGTCAGCGTCGGCGTCGTCGTCGTCGTCGGTGTTGTCGTCGTCGTCGTTGTCGTCGTCGTCGAAGTTGTTGGAGACGTCGCTGGTGTCGTCGTAGTCGTTGTCGGCGGCGTCGTCGTCGTCGTTGTCGCTGTCGTCTTCGGCGTCGGTGTCGTTGCCAAGTGCCATTTGGTACCCACCGTCACGGTCTTAAGAGGTATTGCGACCAAGTTGCGGGTGGGAGGGTGGGATGTTTGCACGAGCAGTGGAGAGGACAGCCTCAAGTTGAGCTAGTGGTTGGTTGCACAACATAGATCGCACCGCAGATATTGATTGCACCGCATAGAACACACGGTTTGCAACACATAGATCGCGCCGCATACATTGCACCACATAGCAGGTACCACATAAATATTGAACCACATAGGTTGCACCATATAGATTCTCGTTTTCCTGAAGAGATAGACTCCACTACCCTCCCGAAGCCGAACTTATCATTCCCCCCTCCGGATGTGCATTTTACATATGATTCTGCCCAATCGTCCATCCTAAATATGAACGCGTACCATCCCAGCCGAGCCAGTATCGACCTCCCCCCCGCCATCCTCTGCAAAAAGGCTATGCGCGCACACTCGTTTCAAAAGCCATTGCAAAAAAACAAGACGAGTGCACACGCGCGCGTTGTCGCGCGCGCATGCCGAAATCCTTCAAAAAACTTTCGTTTTCGTAAGGATTTCAAAATCGAGCGTGCGGAAAAAATGGTTTCGCAACACGGATGTTCAACACAAAATTTGCGCCACCGGATTTTCGACGTGTGTTTACATTCGTACCAAACGGGCTTCGCGCTCCCGCATGTCGAAATCGTTCGAACGCCCCTGCGCGCGTGCTGTCGCGAGAATCCGTTGCAAAGACAGGACAAAGTGCACACGCGCGCGCGTGGTCGCGCGCGTATGCCGAAATCCTTCAAAAATTGTAGGTTTCGTGAGGATGTCAGAATTGCGTGTCCCGAAACAATACAAAAATACATGGTTTCGCATCATCAGTTTTCAGAAAAGTTTGCGCGCGCTCTTGCGAATTCTTAAGAAAACCACAGGTATCTCAACATTGTCATAAATTCTGCCAAGCGGGCCTGTCGCAGTGGGGGCAACATGGATCTGACATTTGGAGTTTACACCATTAGAAATGTACTCCATGTTTGAAATAATTGTTTCATTGTAAAAAAGACAGAAATACACTACTATACCATTACACCATTACACCATTCGGCAGAATGGTGCAACGGCGCGCCCTTACACCATTACACCAGTGCGAGCGTACACCATTGACACCACTTACACCATTTACACCGTTTACACCATTCAAAAAAAAAGCGCGCTCTACACCATTCCACCATTACACCATTCCGGGGAAGAGTG